AATCTGTGAGTTCTGTATGGCCACTGCAGCGAATTATCGAACCCAGCAAAGAGGTGGTGGGTGCTGCGGGAAGAACAGCTGGTGAAAAGGCTGGAGGGAGGCAGCATGTCTGGCCTCGCAGGAATAGGCCTTGGGCTACTGATGGTGATTCTGTCTTCCTCTTATGGGGTTAGAGGAGGTCAGATGGTGTGGCCTCCCTGCCCCTTTGGCAGTAACTTCACTGAGGAATTTCTTATGGATTCATAGCTTAAATGGTCACCTAGACCATTAGCTCGTGGATGCACTGCAGGTAGTCAGAAAGCCTAAATTAGGTATTAGCAGAATTCGCTTGTTTGAATTCAGGACTTTAAATATCTTCAGTCAAGGATTTGTTTAAATAAAAGGCCAGAGAATTAGTTTCCTTCCCAAAATGGTGGTTTATAAAACTGTAGACATTAATCCTTGCCCAAAAGTACAGACACTCTCCTGGCCAGCATATCAGGGAGCCCTTTAGGATTTTGCCTGGTTCAACCTCACACGCTGTATAAACCAAATTAAAAATAACTGCGAAACTGCTGCATGTAGGTGTGCCAGCATGCCTTGGAACAGCTCATCACTGCTTCAGCTTGAGATTAAGGAGAAGCACAATGCTGTGCCCACTGGAGTTTCCATCATCAGAGGGAAGCTTCAGGATCATAAATGAACTAAAGGAAGCGAACCTAGAACCCTCTCAGGCACCTCAGGGCTGTGACACTCAGCCCTCTCCCTGGCTGACAGAACCACTCAGCAGGACTTTCCAAATCGCTAGCCCTGCTCCTGGCAAGTCCCCAAGGAGATGAATTGCTCTCTGCTGGCATGCACCCATTTTGCAGTCCCATCAATTATCAACTCCCGTGTAAGTGCCAAAAATGCCACCTTGGACCCCAGGGTACACAAAATCCCCAACCTCACGTCTACCACCTGATCTCTTTCTTGTTTTCTCTGGCTCAGCTAAACCTCCCTGGGAGCTGTGGTGCAAGGCCAGCCTCTCCTGCAAACCCTTCCACTTGTTCTACACACAGTGCTGCTTTTCACAGCAGGAACCCTCAGAACAGATCCCCAAGGAGCCCAAAAAGCTCTTCAGGTTCCCGCTCCCTTTCTGTATGTACAGAATATCTCACAGAGGTGTCCCTCACAGCTTCTGACCCCTAGCCACAGAAAAGATGAGCAATTAAAACTCTCTGCATTCAGTCCCACTATTCTTGTCCACATTTCCCTTTCAGTGAAGGCATCTAACAGAGGCAGGTAGTTGCTATCTCTAATATTTATTGAATAAATGCAGCCCCTTGGCACATCATCTCTAGTGCCTGTCAGTCATACTCCCTCCTGTCACTGAGGGAAGCTTTGGAATGATAAATATTTAAATATAAGATATTTAAAGTCCTTGTTGGCAAGAGCTGACTCATCCTAGAGCCACTGTCAGCCTAGCCCCCTTTCAGGACAGGAAGGCTTTCACCCGGCTCCTCACACCAGCACTTGCTGCTGCCTCTCTCCACTGTGTCCCAGGAGAGGCCTGCTCTGCAGCCTTTAACAGCAGGCAGTGGCTGGATCAGAGCTTCAAGGGTGATCTGATCCCTTGATTCCCTATCTCTCCCTCTTATAGTCC